TTACTGTTAAGTCAAATCGACAAATACCCGAAAAATGCATTAATGAAGTAGTTGTTAGTGATAAATCGAATGCTTTATTAAACTGTATTAATGCTGATTGTTGTTGAATTTAAAGAAGAAATTCTTTAACACTATATAATATTAAATAATTTCCTATAAGGAGAGCTATAATTATTATAAAAATATGTTTTTGGTTTATTTTTCCGAGATAAATTTAAACTTAAAACAACAAAACTTTCTTTTAACCATATTTCACCATCGATTTTTTCAATCTCATTTGTTTCAAGTAATGAACTTTCAATCAATTTGTTAAATGTGCAATGAAATTAAGTAATTAATAGATTTTTAAAAACTTTAGGAAGTAGCTATTTGTTATTTGAAAAACGTTTTAGCTAGTAAGAAGAAAAAGACATAGGCACAAACTGAGTATTAAATATATTTCCTGATAATGATACATCAGCTTGATACATCAGTTGGACAACTCTAATGCGGAATGAAAATTTACGATTTCTTTTCTTTTTTACATATTAAAGGAATATATAGAATAAAAGACAGGATAAGTCTATTGATGTACAGATATGTCAATAAAGAACAAGCTGTTCAAGTTTTATTAGATTCTTTTTTCTTTCAAAAAATGTTTAAAAGAATAGATCTACATATATTCTTGTTTTATTTTCTTGTTTTATTTTCTTGTTGTTTAATGAAATTGAATATCTTCAAATCATTGATCACCACTTGAAGAACACCGATGCTGAGCTGTATTGTTGTTTTTTCGATTTCTTTCTTCGAGAAGGGCAGTTTCTAAAAAAAACAAACTTCTATCAGGAGTATGACTTTATTTTTATTTACCATAATATTGTCGTATCATTTCGATCGCGGCATGTGATACTGTTAGCCGTCCTTGTTCTTCATCATCTAAATCATTCTGCGTACGACCAAGTACTCTTTCAAGTGTTGATAAACGATCATATTCTCGTTTGTATTTTTCATACTAAAAAATATAATGTTAAATTAATAAAATATTTACAATTCATATTTACCGCTTCAATTATGACATTATACGGTTGATATCGCATAGATCGAATAAAAGCCTCTTCGTCGAAAACGGCGGTGTCGCTTTCAGTACTCATCTAAAATTTGTAAAAGTTCGTTTTCTTCCGCTCCTACACTACCACCACAGTTAGATAATATTCTGTTCAATGGACATAAGCAACAAATTTTTCGTACACCTCTTCTCGTGAACACAAGAAAATGGTTTATTTTTTTATTTAAATTATTCTTTTTATTTAAGTTATATTTTTTTTAAATGTATTTCAGAGTTCGTACAATCGTAAGTATTATATTAGAAATGAAACAGTACTTTTTGTCCAACAAAAATAAATACTGTTTACTTTATTAAATAAATATATTACGATTGTACTTGTCGTTGGAATAGATTTAAATTAAAAAAATTATTGATGATTAAAATTAATGATTAAAATAAGCAAATGCTTACTTTGGAACTAGTTGTAGGATAAAATCTAAATTATAAAAAATATTCTTTAATTTTTTAAATAAGTACTTACGATTGAATAGATGATTAGAACACATATGGATTAAAAAAATATTTATCTGAGCAAAGTCTTTTCTCGAACTTCTTGTTGACATAAATCGAAATAAAAGAAATTGTTTAATTCGGTTTAGATATACTTATAAGTTAATATATCGTTGAAATGAATATAAATGAAAAAATACTAAATTATTTATTCATATAAATACTTAGATGGAATTCGTATACATAGTAATATGAATTGTTTTTCTTTTCTTTCTACACGTGATGTTCGTGCATCATACTTTCATTTCTCTCTTACTGTTATGTGGTTTTCTTTCCGTCATATATGGATATATATATCATTTTTTTTTCTGTTCTCTGGCTTTGACATAAAATTAGATAAAAATATGAATTAAATAAATACATTACTCTGGCGCTTGTTGTAGAGAACATCTAAATAGAGCAATACTATTTAATATTTTCGATAAATATTTATGATTATATGTGTATATAGCATAGCGATAAATTTGAATACAACAAAGATTTTTATTCAGACGGATTGTTACCTGGAACTCATTATTGATATTGATATAATTCTGTTTACAAATATATTGTTTAAGTTTTTATATTGACACTTACGTTTGAATATATCGTTAGGATGAACCTAAATACAAATAAATACTTTATTTTTTCGAGTACTTTGAACTCGCTGTTAACATAAATCAAAAAAAAAACTATTGTTTAACTTTTTAAATTTGTAACGATGATTGAACTTATTGTAGAAATAAGTACAAATAAAAAGAAATATAATGTAATATTTTTATTTCATACTTGTCATGAGATCTGTGGTTGAGATAAATCTTAGTAGGCAATATAATTTAAGTTTTTAAATGAATACTTACAACTGAGCTTGATATCAAGAGAAATTCAATAAGAAAAATAGTTATTTGTTAATTTATAATTACCATTGAATATGACATTTGATTCAACATTAAGTCTTAATAGAGGTGGGCATCTGAACTATCTGCGCTATCGAAGTCAAGATTAGTACTTAAAAAAATTTCTTTGATAGCAAGAGTCAGAAAGAATAACCTTTATCATGTACAGTACTGATCTATTATGAAGATACCATGAATGAAGACAAAGAAACATAGTTTCTTTTCCTTGACTAATCCAGACACAGATACGACGTATTTTAACGATACAGTTTTATTACGGTACGCATATGGGAATATACGTATTGATGTAAATGATCACTATGATGGATTGTGAGATGCTGCGCAGCATCCAGCATTTTTCTTAGAATATGGTTCTATTCGAGAACGTACGACTGTGTTCGTGTGAGATTTTTGAAAAACTGTCTAAAAACGATGCGTAAACGGTCCCGATTACGGAATCGTAAACTGAACTTCGTAAACGGCTCCGTAAACGGTCCGTAATTCATATGCAGTGATGCCGTAAACGGATGTTCGTAAACGAAAATCTACGACTTACTGTAAAGACACCGTTTTTTATTCGTTTACTGCCGTTTACGGACTGTCTTTTCTGACTTGGGTAATTCAATATATTTTTATTTCCTTAATCTACATGCATGATTTGATTTTTTCGCTTCAAAAAGATGATTACGTAAAACATCATTTAACATTGAATCAAACTTACCGGATAGTGCAGGTAAATATCTAAACATTAATGTATCTATACCACCAATTTGTTGATTAAATGTTTCTATTGAACGAAATATAACATGAGATAATGGAAGCTCTTTAATCATTTTATGTTGATTGTTAAAACGATGTACAAAACAAGAAGTTAAAAGATTGTTACATGTACCATCAAATGTTAGGAATAAAACGTAGAAAGTAACGACATGATCGAATGTACTTATATTATAGTATCAAATCATAATCTAATCTTATCCTCGTTTAAATAATAGAAAAAGCAGGACATTTTCACGTCATCGAGAAAATTTATACATTTTTCTTTTCTCTTAAATTTGTGTAGATACATACGTTCATTTCTTATAGAAGAACACGTTTTCTTTGTCTTTTCGACGACTATATCATCGGAAAATATAAATATGTAGCCGAGAGAGCAAATTTCGAGTAAGAAAAGAAAGAAAAGCAAATAAAATTTATATCTAGGGTCTAAATGGGTGTGGGGTGGGTGTGTGTGGGTGAGGGTGGGTGTTGTGTGTGGGTGTGGCTGTAGGTGTGGATGTGGGTGGGAGTGGGTGTGTGGGTCTGGGTGGGTGGGTGTGGGTGTGGGTGAAGGTGGGTGTGGGGTGTGGGTGTAGGTGTGGAGTGTGGGTGTCTTCTTTTGTGCAAGATTCACACCCACACCCTCACACCCACACCCACACCCTCACACCCACACCCACACCCTCACACCCACACCCACACCCTCACACCCACACCC